TTCATGCCTATGGGCTGCAGAGCTCCAGGCTTTAAGCTAAGCATAGAAAGCAACAAAAGAAAACTGTAGGTCACACTGTCCTTACTCTCTGAGCTAGGCTTACTGCATGTTTCCTCCTGAGATACACAGCACGGAATCTGGCACATCAACATCACTTAAGCATTTCAATTAACCTAGATTCACTGTTTCACTTCTGGCTTCCCAATGCATCCAAGAGACTACAAACCTACCTTGCTAACATTAGCTGGGGTTATGAAATGCGTGAAACCAAAGACAGCAAAAGTGACATGGGGTGTGACTGGGACACAACCAGCCCTTACGCAGCCACTCTGCTCATTTCACACCTCCTTTACCTGATTCTTTGGTATCTGTGATTTAGATACTAACTTCTAGACAGCAGGCATTGCCAACTAATATTTCTGCATTGCTCAGCTAGCAGGCTGTGCTACTTGAAAGAGCGGGGAGCGGTAATAAGGCACACCTATCAGAGACAAAGATGCCATCCTTTCCAGTCAGAAATAGTAGATGTAGGCCCTTAACTCGTAAATTTACAATATGAAGATATTTTCTTGAACATTTGCTTGATTACTTTGGTTTGTATTTAATTATACATATGGCTGAGTGGTTTTGTAATTTTATAGCTGGCCTGTGCCCATGATTGATGTGGTAGTGTCGTTCTGACTGAGAGATGGTTTGCAAATGCAGGGTTTTGAAAGGCTGCTTGTACGGAAAGCCACTAGTTGCAATGCAACAAATGCTATATTGTGAATTAAATGAAAGAGTATTTAAAAATATGCTTTCTTGGTGTACTTTGTATAACTGTGATATTTGCATCACGACAACGGTAGAATAAGAAATCAACAATGATTGCAGATGAACACTTAGTCTTACAATTCCTTGAAAATACATGCTTTGACATCCCCAACACATAGAAAGTCAAGTACCTTTCTTACTGTCTATTTTCGTTAACCTGAAGAGAAGAAAAATGCTTAGTTTTTAATCCAAAAGAATTAATTTTTTAATCCTTAGACTGATCAAACACTGGCATTTGAGAAAAAAAAATTAAAAAACAGCCCAACAAAACAATCTAAATAAATCAAAATAAATCACTAAGCTTATATTCCTTTACTTTCCCATTTCATATTTATGAATCTAAAAATAAAGCTCTTGTTACACTAGTGAAGTAAATGTAGGCTATTCTCTGGAGGCAGGATGACGATCTTTAGCCATAACCTCCAAAGCTCTCAGACCTCATTACCAAGCCACAGCCTCTCGCCCTACTTCCTTCACAACAGAATGCGATGCCCAGGCTGTCAGAGCAGCGCCTGGGCTCCTCAGCATGCAGGGCTAATGCTCACACACCTTTCCTGTAGTGGTTTGACACAATTGAAGCTCGTGTGTTTGCTTGGACTATTTGTTTCACTGTCTTTCTTAACACTGTTGTTACAACCCGTTTCTCACTCATTATGAGGTGAAGGGTAGATTTAGATTGGATGTGCAAAATTCTTCATGGTTAGAGTGGTAAGACAGTGGCATAGGCTGCCCAAAGAAGCAGATGCTCCATCCTTGGAGCCCAAAGAAGCAGAAGAAGTGGATGCTCCATCCTTGGAGATATTCAAATCTGCATTGGAGCTTTGTCCAGTGAGAGGTGTGCTTGCCCATGGCAAGGCAGTTGCACTAGATGATCTTTACAAGTCCCTTCCAACCCAAGCAATTCTGTGATGAGAGTCAAATTAATGTCTCTCCACAGAGTTAGTCCAGGAGATTACTGGCATCTCATATGTAAAACCCAAGCATGGACTAGTGCTGCATGAATTGCAACAGCTAATTTCTGGGTGCCCTACCAATTAGTCAAATCTATTCCCTCCTCCACAGTGCTCTTATGCTCTCTTTGCATGGATTGTAGAGAATGGGAACCTAGGAAGAGGATTCACAAAAGTATCCAGCAGCAAGTGCTAAGAACAGAGCAAACCCTTCTCCAAAGCAGATGCACGAATGAATGACTTATCCTCTTCTCCTTCTCTTGCAAATGCCAGTAGTTAAAGCATGTCTGAAACCCAGATCAAAATTCCTTGTCTTCCTGAGAAGGCCCAATGAGGAGATCAACGAGCACTTTACTACTTTTTAACAACTTGCTTAGAAAAAGACAGTTCTGAAAATGGTCAACAGCAAACTTGCGAGTGCTACAGGACACCCAAAATACAGATGAATTTAAACAGTAAAATAATTAAATGGCATTTCGGAGAGCAGAGGAGAAAGGTGAAGAACCCAGCTGTGGATTTACATGCTTGCAGCTGCAGTCTGCTTGCAGAACACCCTGCGAGTCTTGGGCTTTGCCTTTCAAAACATGGCAAATAACAGTTGACAATTCACTGCATCAAACTTCAAAACTACCGTATGTGGACAAAGCCAAAACAGCTCTTCCATAGATGGTTAGTGTTAGGGATAGGTGTTACCCTAAAAGATGCATGTTATTATAGGTAGAAAAGGTAGAACTGAAAAAAGGTCACACAGTGTTGTTTCTTCTTCAAGACATCCGTATTAATTTGTTCAACTAATGTGTTAAAACAGTGGTATTTTCCTAAATACCAATCCTGCAAGCCAAGGGTAGGATCTGACTTTCAAAGTGCTCTTTTTACCACTAAATCATTTATAATGAGTAATAATTATTCTGCTGGTAGAACCCGGCTGATGATTCTGTTGCAGATTTGTGTCACACACAGGAATTCACCTGACATTGCCATTGTGAATATGTCTTCTAACATTAACACAGTAAAACCTGTTTTGACAATAAACAGCCATGTCCTGAAGGCTGGAGGAATAGATCTATTGGGAAACAATTTCAAGAAGGTACTGTTTCCACACATTCACTTTTGAAATCACAATCACACTTTTTTCATTTGTTTGCAAAAAAAAGCTGTTATGCTTATTTAAGAAATTGTTATTGTGTTTAAGCATTTCCCCAGACAATGTCACTGAATCGTACGGGTTAGATAAAGAATCAGATTTGTTTTTTACAAACCTTAGTCTAGAGATTAAAAAAAAGAAGAGGAAAGAGATGCAGCTTACATCTTCAAATCATCTGGTGCTTGACTAAAAGCTCACTGAAATCACCCCAAAGATTCCTGCTGCCAGTAACAAAACCAGGCATGGGCTCTGTGGTCATCACTGGAGACATGTTTTTCATCTTTTGTCTTTTATCCAAACCCATTTAAAACTATTCTTTAAAAAAATCAAAAACAAAGTCCAGTGAAATACATTTCCACTGTACTACTTAAAAGAAATTAGCCTACTCAAAAATAGGCCACAAAGGAAGAAATTATTTAAGTAATGTACAGCTTCTAAGGGTTGAAGCGGTAGCTCGTGTAACTCTGCCATCCTACTAGCACCTACATCTTAATGCTATTAAAAATACTATAAGTTGTGGCCCCTTTGCCTTTGTCATTTCAGCATAAGACCACTCGAGCAAATTATGTGATTTCTTTTGTACAAATGTTATACTGAAGTGGATCCCAAGCTGCTCTGGGGAAGGGGAAGCCCTTCAACATGGATCCAAATTTTCACCAGTTCCTCCAGGAAACCCGCCAACTCGCAAATGCGTTACAGTGAAGGATTCAATGCCTGGATCGTGATTTGATGGTTACAGCGCTCACACACACGTGTTTCTGTTAGATTCAGGTATTTGATGCCTCTTTCTGTAAAGCACAGTCCAGTGGTGGGCGGGGCTGGGGTTAACATTCAGATTTGAATCCCTGGATCGGGGTAGGGGGTTGTTCAGCCCCAGGGTCCTGACTCAGAGCATTGCACAGGATGATCTCACTCAGAGCCATGCCAGTGACTCATGTATTTACTCCTCTTTGAATCCTTTTCCTTTCAAGTCAAACTATTTGCCCATTTCCTGACATCAGCTCATTGCCATTCAGCTATCAGCTGCAAGACGTGCCAAACTGAAAACGTTCATCTTTTCTCTGTCAGGTCCTTGCCATCTCCACCAGCCGCCTGCAGCCAGTGCCCGCTGTCTTCACCATCAGGGACACGAGCTCCATCTCTGCGCCCTTTTTACCAGACCCGGTCCCCCACCTCACAGCACATTCATACCCACCACCCACCCTCCTCTTCTTCCTCCCGATGAGCGCAGCCTGGCCCTGCGTGCAGCCCCTCGTTGCCCAGACGCCGCGGCTCAGCCCGATCTTCCAACCACCTCATCCTTAAGGAGCTTTCCCTCTTCACGGCTGGCTCTGCACGGCCCAGCTCCTTTCCGTGCCCCTAACGTGCTGTAAAAGCGCTTTTCGCCCCTCAGGCAGGAGCCGCGGCCCCAGTCGCACCGCAGCCGGGCGCCGGGAGGGAGGTCACCCGGCTGACCCCTTCCCCTCGCGGCCCTCCCGGCGCGGTTATAGCCGGGCGCTGAGTGAGCGCCGAGCTATGCGGCCGCTGTCTCGCAGCGGGGCCTTGTGGGTAAGGGAGGCCGCCTCCCGCCGCACGGGGCCGGGCCGGGGGCGGGCGCGGCGGCGGTGGGAGCAGCGCGCTGCGGGCGCGGCATGGACTGAGCGCGCCGGGGCGGCCCAGGAGGGAGAAAGGGGAACGGCCGGGCGAGGCCTGCGGAGCCGCCGCCGACGGGGATCTCAGCTGACGGAGGAGAGGGAGCCGGAACGCGGCGGCTGCTGCTCCTCTCCCACTTTCCCTCCCCGCCCGCGGGCGCGATGGTCCGGCGGGCGGCGGCCGGCGGGCGGTGAGCCGGGTCCCGCCGAGGGGACGCCCCGAGCGGGCAGGAGAGGCGGGGGCGCGGCGGGAAGCGCTGCCTTTCCCCTTCCCCGCCGCCGGGCGGATCAGCGGCCGCTTCCCAGCGCCCTTCATGCCCGGGCGGCCGCGGTGCGGCCCCGCTGCGGAGCGCTGCCCTCGGCTCCCGCCCGCACGCCCAGGCCCGGCCTCGCCGCCGCGTTAGGCCCCGGCCGCGGGGCGACCCCGCTCAGTCTCCTCCTCCACCTCCTCCTCCTCCCCGGCGGCGAGGGGAGGCGGCCCTCCCCCGGAGGATGAGCCAGCAGCTGCAGGCGGGGAAGATGTCGGCGGCTCCCCTCGCGCCGCAGGCTCCGGACTCGGCGGCGGCGGGGATGCTCGAGGGCCGCCAGAGGAAGCTGGAGTCTATGATCCGCGATCCGCGCTCCCCGGTCAACGTGGAGAGCCTGCTGGTGAGGGGCGGCGGCGGGCGGCGGGCTAACAAAGGCGGCGCGGCCCCTCGGCTCGGCCGGGAGGAAGGAAGGGAAGCGCTCCGCATCCTGCAGGGGAGGGCGAAGGCTCCTTCCCGGGCGGGGGGCGGCCGCTCTTCGCGCCTTCGGCCGGCCGAAACCCCGGGCAGGGAGCGGCCGGGCCGAGGGCACAGTCCTGCCCCCGTCGTGAGGCCCCGCGGGGGGGAGCGGGGTTTGTTTGGGACCGGGGGAGAAACGCGTCTCGACGCCCGGTGCGGCGGGGAGGGCTCCGCTCCTCCGGCATCACCTCTGCCCCGCGGCTTCGCGCCTCCCGAACGCGCTGAGCGCGGCCGGGTGATTGCCGGCTTTGTGTGTGCGGTGCCCGGAGCTGGAGCCCGCCGGGAAACGGCCTGTGGTGGGAGCGAGGGCTCTGCGTGCTGCAGGGGTAGCGCAGGAAGGGGACACGCCTCAGGGAGAAATGTAGCTCGGGGATGGATCCTACGGGGTCACGTTCGTTTTCCATTGGGACAAATTGATTTCGTCTGTCTCTTATTTCACGTAGCATTTTTCTGTGTGTGTGTGTGTGTGTGAAATACAATTTCCTTTACCAAGAAATCCATGCCCTCAGGAAGGAGTGGGAAGGAGTTCTGTTTCCCGGTTTTAAACATCTGAACCGTGGAAAGGCGGTGTGAGGGAATGGTTATTATTATTTAAACTGAACTTCTGGGTCACCAGACCCAATATTTCCACTCTACTGAGAGATTTCCAGTGTGTCCCAGTGAGGAGGAACAGAAAAGGGAGGGCAGATCCCAGCCCTTCCAGGCAGGATTTGCTTAAGACACACACTGAGTCCTTTTCCTTCTTTTTTTTTTTTTTTTTTTTTTTTTCTTTTTTTTTCTTTTTTTTTCCTTGTAAATGACTCAGTTCTGTTTGGCCAAGAATACAGGAACTGTCTGAACCGTATAGATGTCTGTGCTGTGTGAAGAGTATAGGAATTTCCTATAGAATCTGAAAAATGCTCTTCTCAAGGCTTTAGTGCTGTGCTATTTCTCTCGTAGACGTTCAGAGGCATAATGAGGCCCACAAACCGTAGCACTCAATGAAGGGGAGTGGGAAGCAGTGCTACCTATCTAATTGGAGTCAGATAAGTTTCAGCTTAGGCCAAAGCAAAGAGCTGCCTCTGGGCTTTGCTCCCAGCGTTTTCACTTTGGTATTTTGCTAGGAAAACTTTGACCTGTTGCCAAAAAAGAGCAGTTAAAAATAGTACAGTCTCTCTGAAAAATGCATCAGGTTAATTACTTAACCCCAGCAGACTTCTTCACACTCTGCTTTTATATTCAACAGAGCGTTTCTTTCATTCTCTTACCTCCCCTGCTGTAGATTAGACACACGAAAAGCTGCTAATGTTTCTGAAGAGAGATTCTAATTGTGAAATTGAGACTGGGCTGCTTAGCACTTTTTTTTTGAGGTTTTGTAGGCTTATAGTGTAGACCAGTTCATGTAATACACTGGAGAAATCAGTAATCCATAGAAGAGCACTAACTGGATTGTACATATGCAATTTTTGTTGCAGAGTTAATCACTTTTTTTTTTCCCTGCATTTCCCTCTGCGAGTATGGCTTAAATAATTAACTGTGGGGAAGATGTAACATTAGTGAATCGAGTTTTGTTGTTTTCTGTTTTTCATGCCTGTGTATGACATAAGGAATTACTTCAGCTTTTTTTTTTTTTAAATGATTTATGAAATTTGTAGTGGGTTTCCTGTAAAAGCGTCTGAGGCTTTGGTGTTGTTGCTTTATGCTGTGTGACGTTAATTTTGTATGGGCATTTAGTTAGGCTGACTATTGCAATCCTAGTATAAAAACATCATTTGAATTGCAACACTTACTTGTTTGGTAAACAGCTCGCTTCTCACTTTCAGTGTAAATTATCGTAAGTGGAAATGTGTTTTCATTTAAAAGTGGAAATACAGCTACAGAAACCAAGAGCCAGGGAAAAGGTCTCAAAAAGACTGGCTGGAACGCTACTGTTTCATTCTCCAAAAATAACATAGCCAAAACTAAAAATGTGGAATGGAATTCAAAATGGAATTCATTTCCTTACACTGTAGAAAGTCATCAACAGCTGCTATTCTGTGTTTTGTGTGCGTGTTTTATTTTTGGGAAGCTGTAGGAAGCAGAGAAATAGCTGTTAAATTACCACACGTGAAGCAAATTTGAGAGAAGTGACAAAGGGGGAGGGGGTCATAAGCTGTCCTTCCCTAGATATCAGCTTTACTGCCTATCCAGAGCTGATGTGTGTGGTGGCTGTGGGTGAGGACGTGCACCTTCCTCACCACATCTGTCTGTTTCTTAACAGGAGGAACTCTGAGGCCAAATACAGCAATCATTTCCCTTCAGCCCCGTGAGGCTCAGTTAGACATTTGTGTATGGCCATTGCTATATTGTATGCCTCAGCACTTCCTATTTCTGCCTTTATGAACATAACCATTTATTTGATTAAAATATATCTTTGGAAGAGTCACGTGGCCTCAATTCAGAGGCATTAAGAGGTGGAGTACTCTTTGCTGGGTTTGTTCAGGTAGTTAAATGTGAAGGTAGAATTTATCAAATGTGCACATTGAAATGCACTGCTTGCTTGTCGCAGTCTTTTTTACTGTGAAATGTAAAAGTAGCCATAGAGAACTTAATACTTGTTAGCATGGCTCGTATGCAAAGTCTGAGCTGCACTTGATGGGTTTTTCCTGGTTTTGGTCTGATGAGGGGTTGAAAATGAAAACGGCAGCATGACAGCTGCCTTTCCTTTCTATGCAGACTCAAGCAAAGGCAGCTGCAGAGGACAGCGTTTTCTGCAGCCTAGTTTTGACATCTTCCGAACATTTCTTCTTCTCATTATAACTTAATGAAAGCCTGAGTTCGGTGGCCTATGCTGAGATAGATGACTTCTTATATTGCACCTGTCAGCAGTACAGTCTTGCTCTTTCTGCTCTTGTAACATTGTGTCAGTCACTACTAAAACATGTTAGAATTAGGTTGAGCAGATCAGTTTTCAGAAATACTGTATTCTAATTTACTCCTCTGTCAGTTTGTGTCATCTGTTCATGTCACAAAGTGACACTTTTTGCCTGCTGCATCTACAACTTGGTGGTTGGGCTAAATGGTATGTGACTTTGTGTGATCCATAAGAAACTCTTGTATAAATACATTCCTGCTGAATAATTCAGAGTTGACAGCTATGTTTAAGAAGAGCTTAGCAGCTCTCAAGTACATGTCCTGCTTTATTCTTTTGCATATATGTGCTATCTGCGCTATTAACTGAGTTGATTTATGTAGTATCAAATGCATTTTTATAAGGGTGCGGTTGGAAGCATTAGCTCAACTTTTACAGTGCTCTAAACCACGAGTAGACAGGTCAGTATAGGCCATGCAAAACTCATCCAGATTTCCTATTCCTTGCCCTGTATAACCATGCGGGTCCTGCACACGTTGAACTCAGCTCTAGAATTTTTAGGGTGGTGCCAAACTGCTCTGATGAATCTCATTGTCCTCCTCCCTGCAGCTGGCTTTGTGCAGATGGAAGGCTTTCGGTTAGAGAAGGAAACATACAAGCCCCAGTGCTTCAGCCTTAGGCTTCTGCCTTGATGTTTCGCAGCAGAGGTAAAGTGTTGAATATCTTTGCCGCAGCTGAGGAGGTGTGAGCCTCTGGGAGAAGCAATTCTTAGGCTGCAAAGCAGGCAGTGCAGCGTTGCAGTGAGCACAGTGCTGGGCTGCACATGTGGTTGTGGAATGCTGAGATGTGGGGGGAGCATCAGCAGTAGTGTGCTCAAGCGACATGGAGTGTATGTGCCTTGAAACTGGGAGGAAAAAATAGAGGCTGTTTGTTACTCAGCTGGTGGGTAAACTGTGTATTTAGGCTAGTTTGGACATGAATTTCTATTCATGATCAGCAAAATTTATCCTTGCCATTACGACTGTTGAATTTTGCTCCTAATGAAAAATGCTTTGCGGATGCAGCTCTGACTCCTGTTCTCTCTACAGATCCTATGTAGAATCTCATCACCTGGATAGATACCAAGTGTGAACTTAGCAGATCACTCAGCTGAGCTCCCTTTATGCAGAGTCGTCTGGAGTTGGTGGCTGACACTCATTTGCAGTGTTTGAGCCTTATGAGCCTTCAGAGTGTTTCAGAGCTAATGTGAAAGTTGTCTCACTTTCCTAAGTTTATTGCCATGTGATTCTGAATGAGCAAGAACAATCTGCTGTGTTAATTTGAACCATCAAGCACAAGAAAGAGCTGAAAACATAGCAGGGTCTGGTCTGAAATGTATTGCCTAGAAACTGGTGGAGAGACCAAATGATCCTTTGTTCTTGAAGAAATTTTGCTTTCTTGTTTAGTTCTTATCCTTTTACTTCTTTCTTAGCTTTTGACTCTTAATGGAAATGTTCTATTTCTAATCTGTAATTTCAGAACATCAACTGTAAAATTAAAAACATGAGCTTTAAAATTGCCTTTTGTTAATTGTCCCTGTGTGATAGATTTATATTTAGCAATATAGTTAACTGGAGAAGGACAGTTCTATTTTCTGACACATCTAGGTGTTCTTATATCCTGTGTTATTCACTCCAGAATTAAAGCTTTTCACTTAATTTAAGAAACAGGAAAAAAAAAATAGGCTTTGCTCAGCTTCAGGGCTTTTAATGCAATACATAGGGTGCGTAGATCCAGTGTGCATGAACTAAGAGCATTTGTGCTCCAGATATTTTACCTGTATTGATTGGATACACAGTCATTAGTATCCTTCAGATATTCAATTAGCACAGTTCTTTTCTGCCTTACATGTGATAGAAAAAAAAAAAAAAAAAAAACCAAACCAAATCACTTTTCCCAGTAATGGTAGCCTCAGTGTCCATTGGGGATTGTGTGCCAATGCTGATTAAAAACTGTTTTGTTAAGTACAATTTCAGGTTTCAGCTAATGGCAAAGCGATACCAAAGCATTTATTT